GTGGCCCCGTACCAGTTTTCCTCATGTTGTGGCAGGCCCGATACATCTTTGCATGGCAGCCCCCTTACTGCCCTCCTCATTGCTGCTGCCAGGCCCGTAAGTCTGCACATGGGCCCCTGTACCGGACTCCTCCATGCTGCTGTCCAGGTCCATCGTTCTGATGCCACAAGGGCCTCCTGTCGGCAAAAAAAACATGCTGCTGGGGCTGGTGGTTCCACACTCTGTCATAGGGTGCCTGACTTTACGGCCTACCATTGCTGCTGCCAGGCCCGTAATCTTGCCCATGGGCCCCGATTACCGATCCTCATGCTGCTGCCAGGCCGTAATCTGTCATGGGCCCCTGTACTGCCTCCTCATGCTGCTGCCAGGTCCAGTGTGTGTCATGGGTCCCTGTACGGCCTCCCATTGCTGCTGTCTCCATCGCCACACTCTGCCATGTGCCACTTTCAGGTCTCCTAACACTGCTGGTGGGTTCCATTTTGTCATAGGGTGCTGGCAGATTACGGGCCTTCCATTTTCTGCTGCCAGGCCCGTAATCTGCCATGGGCCCCCGTACCGACTCCTCATGCTGCTGCCAGGCCCGTAATCTGTCATGGGCCCCTGTACCACCTCCTCATGCTGCTGCCAGGTCCAGAGTGTGTCATGGGTCCCTGTACGGCCTCCCATTGCTGCTGCTCCAGGCCGTAACTCTGCCATGGGCCCCCGTACCGACTCCTCATGTTGCTGCCAGGCCCGTAATCTGTCATGGTGCCCCTGTACGGGCCTCCCCATGCTGCTGCCAGTCCAGAGTGTGTCCATGGGTCCCTGTACGGCCTCCCATTGCTGCTGTCTCCATCGCCACACTCTGCCATGTGCCACTTTCAGGTCTCCTCACACTGCTGCTGGGTTCCATTGTGTCATAGGGTGCTGGCAGATTACGGGCCTCCCATTGCTGCTGCCAGGCCCGTAATCTGCCATGGGCCCCCGTACCGACTCCTCATGCTGCTGCCAGGCCCGTAATCTGTCATGGGCCCCTGTAACCCCCCCGCCTCCTCATGCTGCTGCCAGGTCCAGAGTGTGTCATGGGTCCCTGTACGGCCTCCCATTGCTGCTGTCTCCATCGCCACACTCTGCCATGTGCCACTTTCAGGTCTCCTCACACTGCTGGTGGGTTCCATTTTGTCATAGGGTGCTGGCAGATTACGGGCCTCCCATTGCTGCTGCCAGGCCCGTAATCTGCCATGGGTCCCCGTACCGACTCCTCATGCTGCTGCCAGGCCCGTAATCTGTCATGGGCCCCTGTACCGCCTCCTCATGCTGCTGCCAGGTCCAGAGTTTGTCATGGGTCCCTGTACGGCCTCCCATTGCTGCTGTCTCCATCGCCACACTCTGCCATGTGCCACTTTCAGGTCTCCTCACACTGCTGGTGGGTTCCATTTTTTCATAGGGTGCTGTATGGCCTCCCATTGCTGCTGCCTCCACCGCCACACTGTGGCTCCACACTCTGGTTTTGGCCCCGTGACTGCCAAATGAGTGAAGTGTGCGGTGATTCTAAGATCGACGGCACTCATCTGCATGTCATACTGACTGACAGTATTATTTCTCTTCCCCAGCAGACTCCAAGGGCATTTAAATTAAAGGTACAGTGTTCTGCACTAATATAAAGGCTCTCTGAAGCCTAGAAACACCCTTTTTATATGTTAAATTCGCAGCGAATATATTCGCTTCGAATCAGCCGAATCGAATTTTTGAATAATTCGCTCATCTCTAATTATATTCATCCTAGATGGAAATTTTGTGCATGGGGCCAAAAAGTGTAGCTTGCTGTATCAGGCCTGTATGTAAGTATAACTAGTGGGTAGCACCTAGGTGGGTGGGGAAACTAATTACAGGGCAAAAATTCAAGCACAGTTAGTTCCTTTTTTGATTGGTATCAGCATTTTGCACTGTTCTGTACAACAGATTTCAGATTAGGAATAAGAGAAGCAGCATAACTGGCCAATCAGCTATGCTGCATTGCTTATTTGCTAACATGATCCAAATGATAGGACAAGAGAAAGAGCAGAGTTAAAGAGAAGCAACCTTATTAGTTTCTTGCTTCTCCTTTCACTGTCCAATAAACCAATACATTTGCTCAACTATTCAGAACCAAATTAATTACAGGCTACTGTGTGAAAAACTGATAAATCAATCCGAAAACTGTGAATCAATCTTTCTACGCACAGAACCCACTAAGCCCTAAAACACAACTTTTATTCATACACAGCTAAAATAACGTATCTTGGCAAAAATGTATGAACCTGCAGGTCTATCCTTCAAGAGTATGTAATTTACATATTCCAGGGCACATGGCCTTAGTTGTCTAATCATTTTCCCAACATAAAATGGTGGGCAAGAACAATTGGTGACATATATAAGCACACTAAAACTACAGTTGTAAAACAACTTTATTTGTATTTTCTCACTGCTTATTGGGTTTGTGAATTCCTTCACTGTGGAAACAAACAGACATGCTTTACAATGGCTGCAATGGAAGCGCCATTCAGTTTCTGTGGCAGTCATGTTTACAACTGCTTGTCCCCATTCTGCGGCACCCATGTTTACAATTGCTTGTTCCCATTTTGAACAAGATTATGTTCAAAATTATTATGCACCAGAATACAGTATCTCCTAAATTCTTTTCTCACCGATAGGAGACAGATGAAGTAGGTGGCAAGCGGTAAGTCTCTTCATGTACACTATACTTCCAAAATGTATTGGGACACCCCTCCAAATAATGAGATTCAGGTGCTCCAATCACCTCCTTGGCCGTAGGTGTACAAAATCAAGCACCTAGGCATGCAGACTGCTTCTACAAACATTTGGGAGAGAATGGGTCTCAGGAGCTCAGTGAATTAAAGAGTGGTACTGTGATAGGTTGCTACCTGTGCAATAAGTCCATCCCTGACATTTCATTTCTCAACTGTTAGTGGTATTATAACAAAGTGTAAGCAACTGGGAACAACAGCAACTCAGCCACGAAGTGGTAGGCCACAAAAAATGACAGCCAGCTCTGAAGAGCATGCTGAAGTGCACAGTGCGCAAATGTCCCCAACTTTCTGCAGAGTCAATAACTAAAAACCTCCAAACTTTGTGTGGCCTTCAGATTAGCACAACAACAGTGTGTACAGAGCTTCAAGGAATGGGTTTCCATGGCCGAGCAACTGCATCCAAGTTGTACATCACTAAGTGCAATGCAAAGCGTTGGATGCAGCTGTGTAAAGCACGCTTCCACTGGACTCTAGAGCAGTGGAGATGTGTTCTCTGGAGTGATGAGGTATGCTTCTCTGTCTGGCAGTCTGATGGATGTGTCTGAGTTTGGTCGTTGCCTAACCGCATTGTGCCAAATTTAAAGATTGGTGGAGGGGGGATTATTGTTTGGGGTTGTTTTTCAGTGGCTGGGCTTGGTCTCTTAGGTCCAGTGAAGGGAACTCTTAAGGTATCAGCATACCAAGAAATTTTGGACAATTTCATTCTCCCAACTTTTTGGGAACAGTTTGGGGATGGCCCCTTCCTGTTCCAACATGACTCTGCACCAGTGCACAAAGCAAGGTTCATAAAGACATGGATGAGTGAGTTTGGGGTGGAGGAACTTGAATGGCCTGAGTCCTGACCTCAACCTGATAGAACACCTTTGGGATGAACTAGAGCGGAGGCTGCGAGCCAGGCTTTCTCATCCGACTTCAGTGCCTGACCTCACAAATGCGCTTCTGGAAGAATGGTCAAACATTCCCATAGACACACTCCTAAACCTTGTAGACAGCCTTTCCAGAAGAGTTGAAGCTGCAAAGGGTGGGCCAACTCAATATTGAATCTTATGGACTAAGACTGTTATGCAATTAAAGTTCATGTGCATGTAAAGGCAGGCATCCCAATACTTTCGGGAAATTATCTAAAAAGATCTCTTTTGGGGTAACCCCTATCCATGAAGACAGTCCTGCTTTCATCTAAAAAGGCTACCCGTGATGAGAAATTACATCAGCTCATAAAAATTGTCCAGTAGGAATGCCACATTTCAGAGATTTAAGGTGTTGACTGAACCAATGTAAAAGATTATTTGTAGCTGTTCCTGAAGTCAGGGCTTTGCTGTGTGGTTGGTAGAACTGTGTAAATCTCAGAATCTAATGGAGAGAAATACAAATCAATTGGCAAGTTAACCACTTCCCTGCCACCCTATTGCAGAAATACTGCTACAGGGCAGCACGGGTGCTCAAAATCATGTATATATACTTGATCTTGTTGTTCCGAGTAGGGGGTACGTGCACCCAACCCACCCTGCCATTCATGGCCTCGGGTGTGAATCACTGGGTCCTGGCCGGTAATTTCCCGCCGGCACCCGGCGATTTCTGAGGATTTCCGGGAGAGACCTTTATGTAAACAATACATCTGTATGTCTCCCATCAGCTCCTGCACACTGCTTTGTATGGCTCTGCATAGGGGTAGAGGGGGGGTTCTGATGAAAATATGTGCCACCGCAGCAATTATATGCAATCTTTTGTTTAATGGAGTTTCCATCTAATTTACCAGTTTAACTCTCTTTATCCCTCTATTACCTGCAACATTTTCTGATTATATGGTAATATTACCAATCAAAAGTGAAGCAAAACCAAAACTTGTGTCCAAGTTTATTACGAGTTGTGTTTCACATGACATATACATCTCGTATTACTGAGTATGACAATTTTCTATTGTGTCAGCCACCTTTTACAGAACATCATCAGTAAAGTTACATAATATAATGTTATGTTACTCTGATTTCTGATCAAATCTGAATTCTTTTTATGAGGAAGTCAGCAAAATCTTAGACAAAAGAATGGCTGTGGACGTGGTATATTTGGATTTTGCAAGAGCGTTTGACACAGTTCCCCACACATGACTAATGTGTAAGGTAAAGTCTATAGCTAAAAGCCTGTATTCAGAAAGTAGTATTTGATGATTCATACTCTGAATGGTCTAGGATTGTTAGTTGTGTACCCCAAGGTTCAGTGTTGGGACCCTTACTTTTTAATATATTTATAAACAATATAGGGTCTGAGATTAAAAATCCCATTTCAGTCTTTGCAGATGACACCAAGCTGTGCAGTGGAATAAAGTTCTTACAGGATGTCTTCAACTTCCAAGCTGACCTCAGTGCACTGTTTAATTGGGCAACTATGTGGCAAATGAGGTTTAATGTTGATAAATGTAAGGTTATGCACTTGGGGGCTAAGAATATGCATGCATCATACATACTAGGGGGGTACAACTGGGGGAATCAATGGTGGAGAAGGGTCTGGGGGTTCTGGTAGATCCTAAGCTTAATAATGGAATACAATGTCAAGCTGCGGTTTCCAAAGCGAGCAAAATCTTTTCTTGCCTTAAGCGGGATTGACTGCAGAAAGAGAGATATAATTTTGCCCCTGTACAAATCATTAGTAAGACCTCATCTGGAACAGCTGAACTGAATTTATTTTCTATTGAGAAGAGGAGATTAAGGGGGAATATGATCAACATAAATACAAAGTGAACTCAGTGTAATGCTATTCACTTTAAGGTCATCACAGAGGACAAGGGGGCACGCTTTACATCTGGAGGAAAAAAAGATTTATTCTCGAAATACAGAAAGGCTTCTTCACAGTAAGAGCTGTGGAATACACCCTCATGAGCTGGTTCTGGCCAGTTTAGTAGATTGTTTTTAAAAAAGGCCTGGATTCTTTCTTAAATGCATATAATATAATGTGATACTAATAGTTATAGATAACGTTGATGCAGGGAATATCTAATTGCCTCTTGTTCGATCAGGAAGGAATTTTTCAAATTTATCATGTTTTATTGGGGTTTTTTTTCTTCCTCTGGATCAACTGTGGGTATAGGATTGTGTATATGGAGGTTTTCTGTGTTTGTGTGTGTCTTTTTTTTTCTCTGCTGAACGGGATGGACCTGTGTCTTTTTTCTGTAATTCTGTAACCTGATATCTACTTATTTTTTATATGAGCTTCAGAATTCACTAATTAAAGTAAAAAAAATAATAATAATCTGAATTAAAACTTCAAATTTTAACATACAATAAAACCTTCACATAGGTTCTAACCCCTTTTTTTGGAGGCGCACTTTAAAAAAAAGGTAAAACTGACAGTGTTCCACTAGTGAAGTATATACAAGGGGAGATCTTTACTAGAACTGGAGAGTGCAAAATCTGCTGCAAGATTTCACAGAAACCAATCAGCTTCCAGGTTTTATTGTCAACGCTTAATTGAACAAGCTGAAGTTAGAGACTACTATGCATAGCTGCACTTGATTTTGGATGCTCCAGTTTTAGTAAATCCCCCACAATGTGTAAATATGAAAATGAAAAAAACACAAGAAAAATTCTGTGAGTAAACTTTGAGATCACAGCAGTACTGCAAGTAGAGAATTTTCACAAGACAAAATTATTTAGAATTGGATATTAAAAATATATAGTATAGTGGTTTAGCATACAGTATAGCTTATTGCATATTAAATGAATGCAACCAGCAATACCAACATAATAAATACCAGTATAAATATGAATGTATAAAGCAGAATAGTTACCACACACATAATTCTTGTGGTACATTAGCAAAAGTTTTTAAAGTAAAAGCAGTGCTCACAAATTGCATCACACAGAATACATAATTATATAAATATATTTATATTGCCTGAATCTATATATGGTTTTAACGTGTGCATTGGTCGCCTGCTGCACAGAAATGTTTGCACAGTTCCTGCTAAGTATTTTCTCTATGAATTTTTTTTATTTTATGTATTGTATTTTTATGCAAGCACTTTTTCAGATCATAGAGTGTCTTTTATGGTTTTTTTTAGTGATGTCCTAATTTAATAGATATTAATTTCACTTAGTATTTATACAATACTTTTTGTTGGAACAGATCTCCATGTAAGCACCAAATGTTTTTATTCCTGTGTGCATGTCAAGATTTTTTATGTATATAGCTGAAGCAGCTACTGTGTTGCAATGCTATGAAAGCAATTAGTTTGCTACAGTGTTTGGTTCCTGGTTTAAACTGGCATTGGTCTCGGAGGTGGGATCGTCTTTTTAGATGGAGGTTAAGATGCCAGGGGCCTTATAGTAATTGTGCAGTAGGACCATATAATTTGTACATATGTCCCTGCTGGCAATAACTGTATGCACTACGAAGAGCCTTTAAAATAATCTGACACACTAGGGGGTGTTTTGTAAGCATCTATTTTTATAAATGGGTACATAAAATATTTTGTTTGAGAAACACTGGCTTTATTTGAACAGGCATCTACAGAACTCAACACAAACTGGCTTATTTTGTTGTAACATATACAGCATAACACCTACATATTTATATATGTTACCTGTTTCTAGGATAGGATTTTCCCATCCCACCTATTGATATAGCTATCTACGGTTTATTCACTCTTCCACTCACTTCCCCTCCCTTCCAGTCCTATAGCAACAAGAGGAAATGAGAGGAAACCCCTCCAAAGTGTGGAAATCACCAAGGTCACCAGAACAAGTATCCTGATTTTAAAATTTCCCCTCTATCATTGTTCTGGGGACAACCCTAACTTTGGGATTTTCTTTCACTTTCGGTAATATCAGTAAACATGATAGATAGAGAGGGTGGATCTCAATGGAACAGACAGCAATAAAAATGGAACACATATTTTAATCCCTCTCCACTCTGTCTAAAACTGAAAAAAGTTTTGTCTTGAGTTATAATTTAAAAACAAATTTTGACTTTACATACAATATAAATCCTTTAAACATAATCTAATCTAACATTCAAACTGAATCCCAATAAGTTTAACTCTTGAAGAAGTAAAGTCTTTTTTTGGTTTTGTATAGAGTGGAGAGGAATTAGCACACCTGTCATTTTTTTTTATTTCTGTCTGTTATGGGAGATTCACCTTCTTTATTTGTCATGTTTCCCATTTACACTGAAAGTGAAAACAAACCTAACGTTTTCAGGTGTCCCCAGATACCTGATAGAGGGAAAATCTTCAATCGGAGGAAGCTAATTATCGTGAAAAACTCACTTTGAATGGATTTCTTCTGGGAAAATGTTCCCAAAGGGACATACAGCCATGGCCAAATGTTTTGAGAATGACACAAATATTAATTTTCACAAAGTCTGCAGCTTCAGTGTTTTTAGATCTTTTTGTCAGATGTTACTATGGTATACTGAAGCATAATTACAAGTATTTTGTAAGTGTCAAAGGCTTTTATTACCAATTACATTAAGTTTATGCAAAGAGTCAATATTTGCAATATTGACTCTTGTTTTTCAAGACCTCTGCAATTCACCCTGGCATGCTGTCAATCAACTTCTGGGCCACATCCTGACTGATAGCAGCCCATTTTTGCATAATCAATGCTTGGAGTTTGTCAGAATTTGTGGGAGGGGGGGGAGGATTTGTTTACCAGCCTCTTGAGGATTAACCACAAGTTCTCAATGGGATTAAGGTCTGGGGAGTTTCCTGGCCATGGACCCAAACTTTTGATGTTTTGTTCCCCAAGCCACATAGTTATCACTTTTGCTTTACGGCAAGGTGCTCCATCATGATGGAAAGGGCTTTGTTTGTCACCAAACTGTTCTTGGATGGTTGGGAGAAGTTGCTCTCAGACAATATGTTTGTACCATTCTTATTCATGGCTGTGTTCTTAGGCAAAATTGCAAGTGAGCCCACTCCCTTGACTGAGAAGCAACCCCACAAATGAATGGACTCAGGATGCTTTACTGTTGGCATGCCACAGGACTGATGGTACTGCTCACCTTCCTTCTCTGGACAAGTTTTTTTCCGGATGCCCCAATTATTGTAAAGGGGATTCATCAGAGAAAATTACTTTATACCAGTCCTCAGCAGTCCTAGAGAGAAGGGGCTTCTTTGTTGCCTTTCTTGACAGCAGGCCATTCTTCAAATGTCTTCACCTCATAGTGCGTGCAGATGGAATCACACCTGCTGCTGCTGTTATTTCTGAGCAACCTCTGCACTGGTGGTGCCCCGATCCAGCAGCTGAATCAACTTTAGGAGATGGTCCTGGAACATGCTGGCCTTTCTTGGGTGCCCTGAAGCCTTCTTCGCAACAACTGAACCGCTCTCCTTGAAGTTCTTGATAATACAATAAATGGTTGATTTAGGTGCAATCTTAGTAGCAGCAATATCCTTGCCTGTGAATCCCTTTTTGTACAAAGCAATCATGACTGCACTTGTTTCCTTGCAGAAACCATGGTTAACAGAGGAAGAACAATGATTTCAAGCACCACCCTCCTTTTAAAGCTTCCAGTCTGTTATTCCAACTCAATCAACATGACAGAGTGATCTCCAGCCTTGTACTCGTCAACACTGACACCCTGTGTTAACAAGAGAATCACTGACATGATGTCAGCTGGTCCTTTTTTTGCAGGGCTGAAATGCAGTGGAAATGTTTTTTTTTTGGAATTAAGTTAATTTTCATGGCAAAGAGGGACTTTGCAATTAATTGCAATTCAATTCTTGATCAATCTTTATAACATTCTGGAGTACATGCAAATTGCCATCATAAAAACTGAGGCTCCATATTCCATTTCATGCATAGAGACAAGGATGTTTGCATAGGTATTTAACCATACATTTCTCAACATTAAACTTAATTTGCCATTTAATTATGTTGCTTTTTAATGAGCTCCTTTTATAATTTGTCACTATTGTTCTGAACTTAAATAATTCTACATAATTGTGTCACTAAAAAAACCAATGTTTTTTTTCTATTACCTCCCCCAGATAATACATACATAGACTGAAAAAAACTAAGCCCAATGTCAATGATCACTGTCATACATCACTGCTAACTTGATTGAATTTAACAAGTACCATTTAAAAATAATTTGTCTTTTTTTAACCCCATTCTTCACCGGTGTACAACTTCCCTGCCCATTTCATCCTCTTCTTCTATACCAGAATGTAATAGGTACAGTATCAAATGCTTGGCAAAATCCAAATATATCCCAACAATTGCAGTATCCCTTACCAGATTTATATGTGCCTTCTTATTCTAAATGGCGTTGTACATTTCAACAATGCACCTGCGTGGCTGTGCACCACAATGTACTATCTGTTCTGGTGTACGGTTACCAAAAATGTTACAAGTGTGATTTTTAGTCCATATACACTTTAATGTGCGAGCATTAAGTGCAACACAATGACTGCCATAATGTTAATGGGCCTTTATGGAAAAGAGAAAAACTACTCTATAAAGTCTCTAAAAGTTAGATAATCCTAAAGTTTTGGAAGTAATACTGGATTAGTTTACCAGGTCTTTATCCAGCCTTCCCCAAATACATTTTCAGTGAGATTTGGTTGCTGCTGCTTTGGACTGGCAGACAATCATCAGTGAGATTTGGTTGCTGCTGCTTTGGACTGGCAGACAATCATCCTACTGTATATAAATCAAAAAGTGCAGCACTAATCAATCAAAAGTGACAGTTCAAGAAAAATTGTGCTCCTGTAACAACAGTCCAGAATATGTGCAAATTGTGCTTCCAGAAGATCCAAAAGGGAAAAAGAAGTGCCCACTGGTCCAATACCACTGAAGGGAAAAGAACGCCTTGGAGGTCCGATGGTAATAAAGGTAGACTGGATGCTTACCAGAATAAATTGGCTTTCAAATTTATGAAAATGTCAAAAGAGCTTCAGGGAATAACCCCAAACCAGCCCTTGGCTGATGATGGGATACCAATACAACCCCGGACTCCACACAGACTCCACCCTAATGGGTGTGCTACTGCTATTTCATTGACCAATCAGAAATCCGGGGGTGTGACTTTCCTCTGCATTTGTGCCTGCTTTGGGTCAGGTTCAGGATCACAAGGCTGTCCTGGGGGAGGCAGCAGTGGAGAAACCACCAATCAGGAGCTGGTGGCCAGAAATGGAAGATTAGCTCACCATGAGGAGGACACCATTCAAACCAGGTCCCGGAGCTGTGATCACATGACACTGTAGGCCCTACCTCTCCTCAGAAAGCAATCGTCTCTCACTGCTTTCAATTACAGCTGAGGAAGGAGTGGAGGGTGGGCCCAAGCCTCACTCTGCTGAGTCTTATAGATGTAGAGAGCAGGGCTAGGGAGCAAGCATGCCCCAGTGCCCCCATAGCAAGCGGCAACTGGTCAAGGGGGGGAGACAGGAGCACTGCGGGGAACCTGAAAAAAGAAGGATGCGTGGCCAGCTCCGGAGATGGACGCTCATTGAGGTGAGCTCCATCTATCCGCCAGCCTGACAGTGGCACACTACGACCCCAGGTTGTATAAAACAGATCGATAGCCTCACTTACCTCTCGCCATCCGAACGGGCTATGACCCGCCGCCGCAAGATCCCAGGGAATCAAGGGAAGATGACCAGCTTCTTCCCTGCAATTACAACATGCAGCCAAGATGGCGCTGGCTGCACAGAAAACGGCTTCTCAGCACAGCATGGGGAGAACACAGGACTCTAGGCAGCATACCACCCAGACTCCAGGCTGAAGGGATCACTGTACCCAGGGGACCCGGATGATTTTTCTCCCCGCCTGTCCCCCACATCCAGCAGCCCTGCTAAATCCAGGCCCAGACTGGACACAGGATCACCCCCTGACAGGCAATCCTCCCCCACAGCCACAACTCTGACAGAAAATGCTCCATCTTTAATTGAATCCTACCCTGCTTCTGACCAACCTATCACAGAGATTTCCATGAAAAATATGCTCCTTTCTCTGCGACAAACACTGCATAATGACCTGACGACATCATTATCTTAAATACGGTTCAAATACACAAAAAACGTATCCGCCATATTGAGAACAAGCTAGGAGAAATGTGTACCGCACACAATGACATCATAGATGCACACACAAACCATGAGGCCGACATCGAACAAATTAATCTCAAATTGGCAGATTTAGAAGATCGCTCCAGGCGAAACAACATCAAATTACGTGGCATCACAGAATCCGTCACTACATTCTTTATTTGCAGTGCTACCGACCTGGTGGTACTGATGAGGGAAAGCTGACTGAGAGGCAAGGTCAGAATTATTCAGGTTGGAACTCAGGGCAGGCAGCAGGCAAATTTATGTCAAAACAGATATAAAATCAGGGCAGTCAGCAAGCTGGAAGAAGTAGAACTAATGAGCAGATCACGCTATAGCCAGACAAAGCACAAACAGCTTGAACAGGCATAGGCTGCATGAACACATCCATCTAAACATTTCTAATGAGGGAGCCAGAGCAGTTACTGCTGCAGTTATGGTGAGTAGGGATGAATCAATGGTAGCCAGTGGGAGCCATGCCTCATATTTAGAATTGGTATTTCTACCTCTTCTATATATGACAACTTTCTGCTGTCACATGGACCTAAGGAAGCTGAGGGTGTTTTGTACCCAAAGTTTCCATATGAACCGCTGATGTCATGGGGAATCCATGCTTCTTTTAGGAAAAGGGGGATAGCAGTGACCTCACTTCCCAAATGTAACCACTGGTGATGCCTTAGGGGTAATTCCTGGATTAGCTGGAGGGCCATAAATGTCCCTCAGAGATCACCAAGATGCCTCAAATACCAGAGCGGGACCACCCAATTGTGACCTCACTCTTACAAAAGCTTGGGAAAACATGAAGGTAAACAATAGAAAACCAATTATTGTGTTCAACTAGGAACTGCTGTATCAGGTTGATAAAACTTGGGGTGAAGTTGTTGCTTAACTCATGGTGCCTGGGCACTACAGAAGGATGGGGTTACAGTATATCTTGCACATAAACATTCCCCTGGGGTTTCACTTGGGGCATAAAATGACAAAAGAATGCATTCTTTAACCTTGTTTTGGCCTGGAATACTTGCAGATGTGAAAAAATATTTTGAATTATGCTTAGAGTGCCATACAAAAGTGAAATGCATTATTATCACAGTCTGCTGGTACCACTGCCTGTGATTGAGGTCCCTTTTGAGTGAATAGCAATGGACCTGGTTAGGCCAGTGGTTAAGACAGCTAGGGGACTCCAGTACACCCTTGTCATGATGGATTATGCCTATTATTATCCCTAGGCATAATACATCCTCCAACACCACCGTCAAATAGTTTTTCCACATTTGTACCCACAGAGGGCTCCTGAAGGAGATATTGGTGAATCAAAAGGGCCCGTCTTAAAAAGTTATGAAAGTATTGTGCCAGTTGTTGAATATTAAGGACATTAAGCCACCACCAGGCAGAGAAGTTGGTGGAAAGTTTTAATATTAAACTCTAAAATGTATGCTGAAAAAAGTGGTGGACCAAGATGGGACTGTCTGCTATCCTATTTATTTTTTGCAATCCATGAAGTCCCACAGCCTTTTTATCAGGGTTCCTCTCTTCTTTGCACTTTGGTGTGGATGGTATTTCCTTGGCTTTTTTAGATATCACTAAAGAAACTTGGGAGCATGATGCAATGCCATACAACAGAGGGAAGATATGACCCCTATTGTCATGGAACATATGTGACAGGCTCAAGAGACCCAAAGATGGATGTATAAGAAATCAGCAAGAGTATATATACATTTTCCACCCAGAAAAGATGTCACTTTTAAAGGAGTACTTCATACTGCTCTGCAGCTGTATTATGCAGGTTTAAGACATCCTCAAAACATATTATTTAAAGAATGTGTGTATTTTTAATTATAAGTTCACGTTTTTCTAAAAAAATAATAAATGCACATGTTTTTGGAGGTAAAAAAAATGTGCAGACGGGACTGTAATTTATTCATTCACAAATCCCTGTAAATGAATGATGCAGCTGTGCGAGCAGAGCCCTGCACAACCAAGCCAATTTTGAAATGTGACAGAGGCTGCAGGGAAGAGGAACCTTCTCCCATTCTCATAGAACAGGGGGCTAAGAGGGTGAGGAGGGCTGCTGCATATTAACATGTTACACCCTAAATATGGATGTAACATTTAACATGTTACTAAAGGTGAGCTTATTCATTATTGTTGCCCTATAAAAACACATTAACCCCATCAAGCCTAAGGGTAAAACAAAAATTAAAGTCTAAGCACAATTTTGCAACCTTGACATGTGTTAGCAAAACTGTACATATCATCACAACTACTTTGTGCATCCAGACGGATTATACCTTGTTTTTTTCAGGAAAAATCGGGCTTTAATTTGGTGTAAATGGTAACAGAAATCTCCTGATTTTTTTTTATTTTCAAAGGAAAACCGACCCAAAATAGTAAAAGAAAAACATTTTTTTTAATTTAGTTGTATATTTCTTGCTACTACCATAATCAACTAAATTTCAATAGTTTTTATTGAAGTTTAAGTAACAAGACATTGTAGGTAAATACAGTTCAGTTAGAAATAATGTAGTACAGGAAAGTAAACAAAACAATATTTTCCCCACCATTTGGCTGGGGGTAATACTAGAATAAGTGGTGTTGGCATCAGAGGTATGCTCAGTATATTCTGAACCATGTAAGGTTGTAGAAGAGATCTATAGGGGGTGGAGAACAAGGAGTAGGGAAATAGGGGAGGTGGGAAAGGGGAGAGGGAAGGGAAGGGTAAGTGCACCAGTCTAGGCAGATAGGTCAAGGTATTTATAGTGAATTTATCAGAATTTTATGGAGCAGTTGGGTTTTGTAACCATCGAGACCAATGGAGCTTAAATGTGTGATAGGTAGAATTTTTTAGGGCAGATCTTTTTTCCATATCGCATTGGAAGTTACGATCTGTTATCAGTGAAGTAAGAGAAGGGGATTTAGTAGTGTTCCATAATTTAGTTATGTTTATTTTAGCTGCCAATAATGTGTGGATAATAATGGTACGGGAGTCTCGAGAGAAATCGTTGATTCCAATATGGAGGAGTGCTAGAGCAGCGTTTGGGGTTATTGGAGTTTTAGATAATGTTGTGAGCATTTGGAAGAAGCTATTCCAGAAGGATTTGAGTGATTTGCATGTCCATAGT